TTGAAAATGAAGCTGAAAAGCAAGAAAAGAGCCGAGAAAGAAGACAGAAAGACACAAAACTTGGTGACTTTTGTCTGGGATTTTTGAGTTTTTTTTTTCCTATTTTTTCGACGGTGGCGGGGTGGTTCATTTGATTTGCAGTGAATATTAAAGCAATTTGTGGGATTATTTCCTATTGTAATCAACGCGCCGCTCCGGTTGTGTTTACTCATCAGCAGCCAAACAACGTCTCCAAAATTGTTATTATTTCTGTCTGAAGCACCTTTTTTTTGGTCAACTCATTTTCAAGTACAAGTTACGCTTCTCCGAAAATAATGCACTTTTGCCCTTAGGCTGGAATTTCTTGTCACTAATCTGAAAGGCATGAAAATTGCCCTCATTTAATTGGGATGTGTCTATAAGTAAAATTCAATTTCTTGGGTATTTCTAGCCTCAGAATGGGGCTTTCAGAAATCTCTGGCCTATTACCCCCACTTCTTTTACCTTACACCTTTTTTTTTTATTACCGACACACACTCGCTCACAATTAATTAAAGCTCTCATTGCATTCAAGGTTATCTTTGGAAGCGCTATGTTGTTCAGTTGGTTAATTTACAGCTTTAAATTAGTGTAGTTTACTTTCAAAACACTTTACTTTTGCTTTCAAAATATGCGTTGCTGTTGTTGCAAATGGGTGGGGTAATCATTAAGTTGTTTAAGTAGATTTTCTGCGCTGTTAAGGTTTTGATCTCGACAAAATGCCCCGTACAAAAAAGTATATATAAGTGGTGTCTGGAGAGAGAGAATTGGAGCCGCCGAGTTGCAGAAGCCCGATGAGATGGCAGCCAGATAGGATCGATGATTGGCAGCTTGGCTCGATCGAAAGGTGTGGCCAGGGCATTGTGATTGATCTCGAACACATTTAGAATGTGATTTAAATTGATGATCTGATCTCATCGGTGGCTCTTGGACTTTTGATGGCGCGATTTAAGGGAGGGGTACGCGTAATAATAGAAGTCGTTTGAAGAATTAAAGTGGGTAGGTGATAAAGAAATTATGTCGGTGCAATAAAATTCAATTTACGATTAAAAAATCTAGAAATTCTGTTTACAATGACATTTAAGAATGCTTTAAGTGAGCAAATTGGTTGTATCTATTACCTCAAATTACTTTATCTATTACCTCATTTTAATATATATAAATTGTATAAATAAGCTTGCAAAAAATAAAAAACCCATTTAAGAAAAGGAACTTTTGTTTGACTTCTTAATTTACAGACCCCTTCAAAACATGTGGTCGAACAATAAAAAGCTTTGACTGGTTGTTGTTGCTTTATTTTTATATATTCTACAATTAATTTTGCTTCTTCCCAAACAATAAAAAACAAATACTTTGTCTCTAAATATAAATTTATTAGCTTGCTTGTGCGATGCGATCATTTTCTCGACCTTTTTCTGCTCCCAACAACTGCCTTTAGACCAGAGCAAACTCGATAGTTCACTATCTCCCCCCTATGTATATATTATAAGTACTAATAGCATATCTGGAGCTATTTAGCATTCGCCGTTTGTATTTGTTTTTATTTTTGCCAAGGCGATCCATTTAAGCTTTGGCTGTCTGTCGCTCCAATTAAAATACAACTCATCTCCTGGGCCGCATTTGCAAATTGTTGCATTGCAAATTGCGCCTTACATAAGTCAGGGCGAGGCATCTATATAAAACTCTGTTATTGAGTTGTCTATGGTCTTGGATTTGGTCGCAAATGGTACTGCACAGGAAAAAATGCAGGTAATTTTAAGATATATATAAATATATATATAATATAAATATTTTTAGTTTCCATTTCATATTTCGATCTAAGACAATTGATGCAGTATTTATGTTAATTTCATATTAAGTTACAAGTTTTTAACAAAATATAAAGAAAAAAATTAATGAATTATTATAATTAAATAACGGAATTAGGTCCTGGAAAGTAATTTCGATACGAATACCAGATTACTGCATATAAAAAACCGTCATATACTATCAAAGCATTATTTTTTTTGAGTGAGCCCAGCTCTACTACTCCTTTTTCCCGATTTTCCTTTTGCTTTTCATTTAATCGATTTGCGTATTTCGGGCAGCGGTAATGGCTCGACAAACTTTCATTGTCCCCGCCACTTTTTTCCCCCGATTTGAATGTGGATTAAGTGTATTCCGAGCCAAGACTTTGTATCGCCTAAAGTGATTTGTTTTTTAGATTGCGACGCTCTGCGGTTATCGAAGTCACCGTCATCGTCGTCATCGAAAAGCCAACAAAAATAGAGTTTAAATTGAAAAATACCAGTAGACGGTGTAGGAAAGAGAGGGCCCGAGGTGGCAGAAAGAGAGGGCAGCTAAAATCAGCGCACATTCCGGCCGCAGCAAAATGTGTAACGCAATCAAAGCCATCGCTTCCGGTTTAAGGCGCAATTAACTGCCTTGGATTACGCTCTTGCCAGTGGGCAACCCACTCCATCGCGATTCCCATTGCAACCGCCGGTTGGGGCTTTGTAGTCCCAGACCCGACTTCTCTATATATAGCGTCATGGTCATCATTTCGCAGATTATCTCTGAAACATTTCATTTCACTCGATTTACTTCCTTTCGGGCCAACACTCTTTAATTGGCATTTTAATGCCGTAAACAAATTTCTCGCTGCCTCCGAACGATCAAATGTCATAATTTCTTCTCGCCACCTCATAAAAACGGCCTGTGTGTGAATTTATTTGAAAGTTTTTCACGGTCTTTAACAATGCTCGTTTTATGGTAATTTTGTTGCCATTTACTCTGTTATAATAATTTTGCACATCCGACTGAAGATGTTTCTCATGAAGGTTACGGGTTTGTGGTAATGTTTGTTCAGAATTAATGATGTTAACTATATTGACGAATTGGGTTAAAATAAAGTTTAAATTGTAAGTTCCTAAATTCATAATGCTTACATACCTATAGAGGTATTTCCATTTGAGCTTAAAACATCTGTGACTTTATATTTAACATTTGTGATGGGACACAAAAAAAGATACCTGCTTATTCTTATTTTCAATTAAACTGCATAATATGAATTCAACTGTCTAATAAAGTTCAGTGATGACTTTGTAAAATAAGAAACCTGAGTGTCTAATGGATTTTCGAAAACAATTATTTATATTTTCTTAAATCCCCGTAACTAAACGAATTTTAAACCACGTTTGCAACCGCTCCAGCAATATAAGTAATAGGAAATAGATGAATGGATCTCATCACACAATCTAAATTGGACCTCGCCTTTAGAGAACTTCATTGAAATGTCCGCAGTCCATTCGATTCGTCACTTCTTCGCTTAGTTTCGTGTTCTTCGCCTAATGATCTCTTTGCAGCCGCGATTTTGTTACTGGGGCTCTGGAACAGGGACTGGCTCTATCAACCTGTCCGGCTTTTTGGCCACTCACTAACCTCCAAACGTTTAATTAATGATCTGTTGTTTCTGTTTCGGGCGCTTCTTTTACGCCCATCTGCCACCGCACTCCCAAAAAACCAAAAACTCCAACCGTTCGACCATCGACTTCTATTTAAAATTAAATTAACCTGCTTAATTTGCCCCCACCCCTTGCTACTCCTCCTCTGCACGAGACGCGCCCAAAACATTCACTCCAAAACAGGGGGAAAAAAAAAATCGAAAGGCGCTACTAATCGCCTCAATGCCTATGGATTGAATGTATCTGCATCTGGCGGATACATTCGGCCGATTTCCGTGCATTTACCGCATAAACGCCTTTGGACAGTTTTATTCCGTCAGGGGATTATCATTATCGCCGCTGCTACCCTTTCGCCCTTCACCATTTCGATTCGATTTTGATCGCTCAATTAGCGTAAAAGTAACATGTCAAACCTATTAATCACTTTCGAAAAGAAAAAAAAACAACACTCTTCTTAGGCTGAAGAAACAATCGAATTTATAGAAAATACATTCCATATTTTTTTTTTCTTTTCTGGTGGGCCAATAGTGCGTGAATTTAGGCGTAGCCAAAAGGGAAAAATTATATAATTTATTTTTTCTTTTGATTGCCAAATTAAAAAGTGTGTCTGTGTGGCGGACAACTCTATTTTGCTCGCCTCGTCTTTTTGGCCTGGCTAAATCTTAATGCCGCCATCGAAATCGCTGCGTCATTACTCGAACTTCAATTTCATTCATTCATCAATTACAATACAAGAAAAATACAGTTTCGAGCGGTGGAAGCCTTGAATCTTTCGGATACGTGTCGCTGTGGGTCTGCGGACCGAGGTAGAAAAAAATAGAAACTAAAATTCATCTATCAATTTTGTTGGTGGTAAATGTTCCTCAGTTGACATTAAGTCTAATATTTGTTGATCCTGTGATGGTGCTTATTGTAATCAATTAAATTAAGCTGTACTGGTTCATTAGAGTTTAAGAACGCACTTGCTAAGATGATTGTTGATAAATCTAAGGTATCTAGATGTTTTTTATAATAATTAATGATTTAGTTTATACATTTAGTTTGAGTAAATGTTAAAAAAAGGAAGACAAAAAAAGGAAGACATTTTGAGAAGCTAGTCTATACGAGGTGCTACAGAAATCTCCACCAAATTCCATCTAGTTTGCTTTTCTTTGTTTTGTTGTTGAATGAGTGGTATATATTATATATAATATTATATACATAAGACTCTCAAACTTTGTTCATTACATTTTAGAAATCAATGTTAGCTTAAAATTCTTAATGGAAATACCATCTTAATAGATTTTATAAAGTGTGCAATGATTAAACTTTATAAATGTGGATTTTTAAGGTAAGTTGTAAAACAAAATGTAAAATATTCATTAAAAAATTGTTAATTTGGATAGATAACCCACAAAATAGCAACATTTTTCATAATCATATTACTTATTACATTATACAAGTTTAATTTCTGATTATTTATCTATTGTATACAAAATGTGAACTTTTTTTACTTATATATTTTATTTTTTTCTATATATCCTATGTTTTGCAACTTACATGCTTGATTTTTCTGATCGCTTTGGTAGCATCAATTTGCCAGCCTCTTCTAGTTTGTTGAGCAGCTTTGCTCTAATTGCACAACTTGTTGTTGTGGCTGCTGTAGTTGTTGGTATAAAATCCGCACGGATATCCGTTGGCCGCTGGCAGGAAGAAATCACCATTTGAGCACCGTTTGGCTATTGCAGCGTTTTTTTTCCTCTCTTGGCTTTACGGATGCTGATAACTCGTCTGGCATTGGCTGCTATACAAATTTGCTCTTCTGGTGTTTATAGTTGTTGCTTCAGCTGGCTGTGTTTGTTGCTTTAGAGCGTAAGTCATCCTGTGATCGGGCCAAGAAATAAGATATATTGCATATATCCAGCCAAGGTATCCGACGGCGCGTGGGAAATTGAGTTGCGAATGTATTTTCCAAACGGATTTGAAATTGTTAAATATATTGACAGTTTATATAGATAGTCATTTATGTGATTAAAGTTTTAGGGTTTTTGCTTTAGAGCACAAAAATAGTATTTGTGTTTTTGTTGCAGGAAATAGGCTTTGTACAATTTCTTATAAATATTGTCTATTTGACAATATTTTCTTTAGCATTAAGATATAATCGAAAACGAAAGATTTTGATTAAATGTATTTAATAAATTATTGTATTTAACACTTTTAGAATTATGGTAATTAGGAGCTTTAGTTGTACGTATATACGAGGGAAATTGCCACTTTGAGATATATATATTTTACTGGTATTTTTACACTTTTTACAATCACTCGCGCTGGCTGGTGTGGTCTGATTTATGATACAAGTTGTGTAGAATTACTTTTTTTTATATTTCTCTATTTAATTAGGTTTAATTGGCGAGCAGTTCTCCCCGGAGTTGACATCGATCCCCGGCCAAGCCGCTTCGATCCAATCTCTCCGCACTTCCCAGTCGTTTCAGTTTCCTCTCGACGATCGCTCGGCCCGGGCTATAATCTTTTCAATTTTATAATTTCATTATGGATTGTCTGTTTAATGTCTGCCCATAATCATCAGCCTGTTCACATGTCTCAGTGGCATTTGTTGTTGATTTCCGTGCAGCTCGGCTCGGCTCACTTTGCATTTACGCGCTGTCACAATTTGCATTAATTGGATCTAAGCGGGTAGTTATCATTGATTTAGCACCGATCTCTGGTATATATAGGCCATAGATATGCATCTTTCTGTGCACCTGGGAGTGTGAGTGTTTTAATATCACATAATCTACTGGGCGTAGTCCATAAAATTCCTTAGTAATTTGTGATTTGATTTGTGTAAGCATAAATTCAAATATTTATGAAGGTTTGCAGAAAAGTTTGATAGATTTATTGTCTATAGGAAGATTTGAGTTTGGGGATAGTTTTTATTTTTTGTCTAGGATGAAAGTGAGGAATTCACACAGTTAGGAATTTGTTTTTTTTTATTTTTAATTTACACATTATATATTTTGTTATATATTCAGGATATATCCTTGGTTGATCCTCTTCACTTCACTGCACGGTAACGCTTCATTTTGAATGTTTTACCGTTATCACCGATCGCATGGCGTTACGTCTCGACCGCTTACGTTAGTGGATCTCTTCTGCTCAGCGTTACGTGCTGCTGTTTTTCCGACAAAAGCGACAACACGACCAATAGCTTTGAGACCGTCTCACGGACTGATGATAGACCCAGTCGCAGCCGCAGCTTCAGTTTTCGATTTCCTAATAACGAAAAGCTAAAAAAAAAGAGCAGCACAGAAACATAACAGAAGGAAAAAAAACGCAAATAGACGACGTCTTCGGCGAGTGTATGGGTGCTCTGAATGAATATACAACGATCGCCGATCCCCGATCCCCAGGTGATGATCCACCACACGAGACTCACAATCCACACGTCGGCAGCGACGTCGACTGCGACGCCGGCAGCGACGCCAGCTGATGCAGCGAAGCCGGCAGAGGCCGAAGCAACGATGCAATAAATCGAAGCTAATACACTTCTTTCTTAATGTAGAGCGATCCAGCGAACGTGCTCACACAGATACACATACCAGCACTAGCACACTCCGAAACGCTGGCCTAGACGAGTTTGGAACGGTAAATGAGGGGCCGCCAGCCGAGCGGTCCGCGAGTTGCATCCTGCCTGGTTTTACTCAATGAAAATTCCAAAAGCGCTAGACCTGCATCCAAAAACTGGGTGGAGATCTTCCGCCCCAGCGACGAACAGAGAGCCGAGCTGAAAAGCCGAGCTCGAACCGATCTCCAAGTCGTCGCTCCACTTGGGTTCCACAAACTCGAAGATACTGTCTCTAAAAAGTGAGCGTGAAGCAGTCGCCGCTGGAAGCCCGAACGGGCCACAAGCGGACAGTATTCTAGTAATTGGGGAAGAGAGAGGTGCACAGAAAAAAAAAAATCAATTTACAGCCAAAGGGGACTTGAAGCTTAAGAAAAGATTTTAAAATATGTCAGGTTATCCTTAATGAAAAAATACAGATTTAGACAACATTTCATAAATCAAACAAATTAATAATTAACTTTTAGTGAATAGGTTTTTTTAAAAAAAAAATCTTTTTCTAAACGACTCAGTCTAAACAAATCAAATAATGTCCAAGATACGAAGGTTTCTAAAAAACAATACCTTTAAAGTGATGGTATAAATAAAATATATTAAAATATTTTATTTTTATTCAATATTTTCTTAATCGATGATTTTGTATCTCATATTTACTTGCAGCTCTTTCTTATTAAGTTTGTTTTCTTATTTTGGTGAGACTTTATTTCATTAGCATTTGAATAACTTTTTTAACAGACATATTTAAGAATAATAATTATATGAATATAATTTTGTAAATATTTTTATTTAAATATGTCCTTTTGATCTAAATAAATTAGACATATTACAAAAATATCCAAACATTTTTCTGTGTGCAACTCAGTGGGGGAATGGGAAAGTTCAACGGGTTCTTTCACTGATCGCAGATTAACATACGGTCGGTCAGAGAAGGGTCTCTAGTTTTAAACTTGTGTGTCCTACTTGGCACGAGACTGGAATCGGGCATTTTCAATGTCCATGTCCATGTTCAAGACCATGTCATGTGCCTTCTTCTTGGCCACTTCACACAGCTGCAACTGCAATTGCAACTGCAACTCTTGATGTTGCTGCGGTGCCTGGCTGCTGTTGCTGCTGTGCTGTTGCTGTTGCACGAAATCGATCAAATCAAAAATGACTTTGTGAAGTGACTAACTGCCTAACTGCCAGCTGCCGTTGCTAGTTGCTGCTGCTGATGTTGCTGTTGCAAGTTGCTGATGTTGCTGCTGCCGCTGATGCTGCTGCTGCTGCTGAGGTTGCTGTCTAACAGTAGCTTGGCTGCTTTGATTTTTTGGCGCAAGTCCAAGTCCAAGTCCATGGACATACAACACTTCAAAATGAAAGCACATTCCCTTGTAGAAATTTTACCGTTACAGGTACAGCGCACCCCATGCACATCAGGTCGTTTGTCCGCTGTCCATTTGTCCACTTTTCCACTGCCATCATGCTGATGATCGGCCAACACTTGGCAGCTTTATGGCTCAGATATTTGCAAATCTCCAGGTTCCGCAGCATCTTGAGCTGTTATTGTAGCTGTTCTCCTCTTGTTATTCTAGCTGATGATCTGCCATCATCTTCTGGGCGAGAGGAAGCCACGAAGGCCGAGATCTCTTCAGCCGCGTGCCACGCTCGTTGGTTATTTATTTGAGTCAATGAGTTCACAACTATTTTTCTATTTTTCCTTAATGGCTTTTTCTTTCCACCCGCCCCATCATGCCCCTGAATTTTCCTCTCTTTTCTTCCATTTTTTCGCGGGGAAGGAAGCGCCTTGTTGTCTTCGCTTGATTGATGGTTCGATAATGTGAAGTTGGTTGGGCTCTATTTTGGCCTCTGCGGAGCAAAGGATTGTTATGATGGTCAGTGCTGCAAATGAGTTCAATTGAAGATTATCTCTTATTAATTAGCGTGGTGGGGGAATGTGGGTCAGCGCTGGAATTCGGTGGGTTGATTGGGGCATCCTTTGTGCAGCGATTGGGATTGGGCGGTGGAATGTGCAGGTGATTGACGGTGGATCTGGGGATTTTAAGTGAGTGTTTGACTAGCAAAAATATAGATTAAGTTAATAGGTAAAGAAAAGGTCTTTCAGATCAGTGAGAACTTAATTTATTTAATAAGAAAAGGTACAAAAGGCATTTATCCCTTAAATATTTGAGGCAGCTGCAATTCAGATGTTTTTAGATATTTTTCCTCCTCTAAATTTCCAAGTAAATCATTAAATGGTGGTTTAAAGTTAAAATGAAAAGACAATAATTAAATAATAATTAGTATTTCAACATTTTTTGGATTATTAGTTATTTTTGATTGTTTATGATTAATAGTAATTGTGAAAAGACATCGTAATTGTAGGGATAATAATTAAAAATAATTATTTAAATTCAGTTTTATTTGTTTCATTTTAAAAGGTTGCTGTAATAAAAGTTCATATTAGTGCAACAGCTATAATAAATAAATGCTTCGACATAATTTCATGTTCTGTAATACCAAAGAATATCGATCTACTAATATGTTGTATCTAAAAATTCATCCACCACACCTTGAATAAATACTCCAAGTTGCTCTCCTCATAGTTAAGTAATTAATTGCTGAGTTTTTCATACTAATTCTCATCGATCCCGTGTTATTGGATCGATGATCGCCATGATCCGAACCTTGTCAACACAAATCATGTTCTATGGAGTAAAGAATTTCCTGATTAACTTTGCCCGGGAATCGCTACACCAATTGACAGCCAAGCAGGTACATAAATACCAACATATTTATAAACACCGCATAGCTCCGATTGGGAGCCATATAGGAAATTAGCATGAGCCCAGTCGATTCCCATAAGTCAGGCACGATGCCATGGAGATTATGCATAATTAAAATGTTCATATACAATAATTAGCAATAAGCAAATACACATGCAAAGTGCCGCTGTTAAATGGTTAAACAAACGTTTAGTTTATGGCTTATACCTTTTAACTAAACGAGACAACAACAGTAAAGCCAAATAAACAATTTGATAAATTTATGCGAACTGCGACAAAATAAAAAAACGGAGAAATAATAAAAGCGAAAATCGAGCAATGAAATGAGCCAACCAAAAGCACAATATTTAGGAGAGGTTTAACACCTCGACGGCTCCACCGCTGGCGTCCCCTTTTCGCCCCCGTTAACCCTTCAACGGCAGCTGCTGCACATAATTGGCCCGCAACGGAACAAAACAACAACATGGAGCGATCGTAAACATTTAGTTTTCATATAGTTGTTGGGTGCCGTTGTGCAGGTGTGTATGCCAGTGTGTTTCAGTGTGTATGTGTGTGGAAGACCCGCCCGCCTTTGGACCGCCGATGTTGTTGTTGTTGCCAGCGCTGGCGAGTTTTTGTTTAAACGTTTTCAAATCGCACAGCGAATGAAAACGAAAGAAAAAATGAAACACATCGAAAGTGAGCATATAACGAAGCGCTGCCCGGCGATGTTGTCGACGTATCAGAGCGCTCGTAATGCCCCGATCCGATCCCCCAGTACGTATACGTACTGCCCCCCGACCGATCCACTATTTCCGAGAGACTTTGCATGGCCGGTCGACCGGCCGACGACCATCGCATGGCATCGGGCAATGGAATGGGCATCGGAATTGTGCACAGGGGGAAATATAAATCTAAAACGGATAATTTATGAGGAAACATTCCCTCAATTTCATGGTCAAGATAAAATTTTAAAGTTCACAAATTATTATTATTATATTTGGGTAGTCAAGATAACAAAAATTATAATTATTATTATTATATATGTAAAGTCAAGACAACATTTTATAACAAAATAAAATATAACACAGAAATATTGAATGCTTTTTATTTTGGGTTATGTAAAAAGGACCTTGAGTTTTACAAATAAACTGCATATAAGCTTAGTTAAAAAAAGGTAGATCTTGTAATTATCAATAAAAGAATGGTTTGACTTATTTTTAAGCACACACGATTGCTTTACGAACTTTAATATATGACGGTGTTCTATTTAATCAAAAAGTATTGTAACATTTTTTTATTAAACCGATGCGATTAAGAACAAATTGGCCATGTGAAACTGAAATTGATAATGAGTTTTTCTTTGTGCATGGAGTTCGGCGCTATATGCGCTGGTGACCACCATCGTTGGCGGTTCCACATTGCACCACTGGGTTTTCAAAGTGGAGAGTGTGCCCCACCAAAGTAGATTCAGTTGGGTGGCTATCGGCGAGGAATGCGGAATGGAGGCGAGGAGACGAGCCATAACGAACATGGCTATCTTTACGGCACCCAACACTTTTTACTTTAATGGAAACTCAAGAAAACATACTGGCAATGCAATTTTAGTTTATTTTGGACATGTATCTATTAAGATTATTCTAAAAGAGTTTTATACATCTTTTTTATTTGAAATGCATTTTCAAAAACTTATAGCTGTGGCTTTTCTAAAATACCTTTCAAGCTTGTTTAAGTCAAAATTAAAAAATAAAACTCAATTCTTAAAGACTTTCTGGTTTTTATAAAATATAAATACAAATTATTAGCCAAACATATTTTTCTTTTGTTGAAATAAAAATTCAATAGCACCAACAAAAATTTGCTTAAATTCCACAATATTTGTACGAGGATGTGCGTCACAAAGCGAAGTTGGAATTTACATTTCGTATTCGATAAACAATACCACAAATTATAAAAGAGTATTCATAGTATTCTCTGGCGAAACCATTCCTCGCACGTATTATTCTATTCTTCTTGTTAAACACGAGCTATCTGTTTCTGCAGATCTGTGGCACTCTTTATGTACACAAGAACACTGAGCATACACACAGGCAGCGCGCAACACCGAGCATTCCACAATTGGCTCATTTGAAAATCGCTTGCTGCGTATCCAGAGACCTTCCCCTGTTTTCCAGATACAGATACAGATACATTCGGAGCTGTAGATACAGATACAAAGGCGAACTGCTGCCGTTGTTTGTCGTCGTGTTGTCGTCGTTCGTTTCTAATTATACGATAGGAGCGCTATGAGCCATGAAACGTGCGGGGTCTGACCTTCTCGCAGAGCCTGCCTTCGAGTATATTGTATATTGTATAGTATATTGTATCTGGGCCTTTGCCTGGGCCTGCATCTGTATCTGAGCCTCCGAATAGAGTTGGCTGCCTTATACTCGCAGGCGATTATTAAATTTTCAGCGTTTGGCCGGCAAAAGGCTTCTGTGGTAGCAGCTGTTATTAACTCGGGCGCCTTACTTCTTACATATTTAATTATCCGGGGGCCAGGCCTTTGAATTCTTGGGCGGGCCGGGACACTTGGCCTAATGCTTTTGGCCACAGCCCAGCCCAATGGCCAACCTATTAGCCTTTATATCCGATGGCGAGGAGTTGTCCATCTCTTCTTGTAACAACACGTTTAATTGTTAACTATTAAACTAGATTACATGCTGAGTACGAATAGTTTAAAATGATATTATGAGGAGAACACCTTCCACGAACAGCCTTCATATAAGATTGATCATTAAACTTAACAATATATTGACTTTAATACCCGGGGAACCTATAATAATAAAAAAAAAATGGCAATTAATCGCAAATAACTTCCTTTAAGCTTGTTGTCCAGTTTTCTGTTTATTTTTTCCAGTTCTCTCAATTCAAAATATATTTTGGTTTATTAAAAATTGAATTTATTTTTGATTTTATTTTTAAATAAAATTCCTTTTTTATTTTTAAAATGTATTATGTATTCAGCACATTGGCTTAGTATTTAATTTTAATCATGAAATATATATTTTTTTAATTAATTTATATTGTTTGTTAGTTTACTATATTGTGGTTATTTTATTAAGCATATAACCTTTTTATTTCTTTTTATATAATTTACCTCCGACAATTCTCCATTCAATTGCTTTCCCATCGATCCATCTTTACCCATGTCACCATTTGCCGTTCCCCCACAATCCTCCACTGAAGATTAACCGAAGTGCGCGACAAAAAAACCGAAATCTGATATATTTGTCTAACATCTTCGGCATTAAGCTCACCCCCGGCCCAAAACGCGAGATTTCCGCATTAGAAACGATTTTTTAATTATTATTTTCAGACGCCTACACGCAAAACCGAAACTCGATGGCTTCGAGTGGATGCTCTGCTCAAATGTCAGGCTTATTAATACAACAGACCCAACAGATCTCTCGACTCAAGTGCCGGGGACTTGTGGCTGAGGTTCGAGATCGAGTTGAGGACGCTGTGCATCTTTATGTGGGAGTGCGGGCTCCATTGATGACACGTCATTTGCTGGCATAGACATCTTCGTCAAATGTGTTAAGTTGCGCTAAGAGGGAAAACAGGTCTTCCAGTTCAACGGCAAGAGTGTCAGAGTAAAATGTCATGGAAAGCCACTTAGCTGGGTGTTTTTTATTTTTCTGAAATCTGAATTGGATTCAAAGCCTCCCCACATCCGCTGTAAAAAAAAATATGTGAAACCAAAATCTAAGAAGTAGCGATCAAACATTTGTCAATTTTCCTGCCCGGAGGTTGGTATTTGGCTTTGGTGCGATTGGTTCTTGCTCGCGGGCAATGCTCAATTACGGTTTTGATTTAAATCAGTCTACTGACCCCAAAAGTTCAGCTACGGAAATTGCAAATTTAATAATTGACTAGCTCGGAAAACTGTAAAACCCAAACCAGGGGGCTTATTAATGCGATAACCTTGGCTGATTTAATTTCTGCCGTCTGTTCGCCGGGCCTGTGATTATCCAGCAACAAGGCAAGAAAAGAAAAAAACCAGCGACTTCCATAACAACAAAAGGAAAATCAAAACTTGCACAATTTCGACACTAAACGACGATGTCTGGGCCACTCTTCGAGTGCCTCCGAGCTGCCAGTTAGTCGCATATTTAATTAAGAGATTGAGTAGCGCAAATAGTGTTGAACAATGGCCAGCACGAGTCGCATCTACACTGCGAGAAATGTGTAGCTGGAATCATCGTCGGACGAAGTGGGTTCTGTGGTGGTTTCATCGTCGGGCTCTGTGGATTCGGTGGTGGCTTCATAGTGATGGTCTGTGGATTCGGTGGAGGTTGCATAGTGAGGCTCTGTGGATTCGGTGGAGGTTTCATAGTGAGGCTCTGTGGTTTCAGTGGTGGAATCCTCGTCGGGTTCTGTGGTTTCGATGGTGGTATCATCGTCGGTCGTAGTGGTTTCAGTGGTGGTATCTTCGTCACCATCATAATCATTATTAAGACTTTCGGTCGTCATGGTAGTATCAGAGGTGGTATCATCACAATCAAGGCCACTGTTTTCGGTAAAGAATCCGGCATATTCACCAAGTGATTCTATTGGATCCTCGTCTTCTTCTTCTTGGGACTCCTCTTCAGACTCCAACTCGCACTCGTCAAAGTAACTTTCGTACAGATCTCCCAGGAATGTGGCACCCTTGGGTACAGTATATTTTTCATGGAAGAGCTCCTTGTTCGGATTAAAGCTCATCTCGTAGGAGGAGAATATGACTCGATGGTGAAAGGGTTCCGGAATGCATCGCCTCAATATCCAGTCCTTTATCCTATTTATATTCTTTTGAAAGCCCTCCATCACCCCAATAGCTCGTTGTCCATCAGGGGAGTATATTATGTACCCGGCTATCTTTCTTTTGTGGCAGTGATACTGTATTCGATTCTGGAAATTAATCCCCGGCATTATGTTGTATAACTTAAACTCGGTCTTCGCTACAACATCTGCATAGAACATCCAGTTATCGGGAAGTTTATTAGTTTCACTGTTCATAGTAATGTTGATTAATACTGAGAACGTAAATGCAAATGTATGAAAATATTCAAATATTTAAATTTAATAATTTTGGCTTGTATAAATTGTGCTGGACTTGTGGTTCAATTTACTGTGACTTGGGGTTGTGATCTAATAGCTTGTAATATTTGTATAAAATGAAGGATATTGCAAAGTAGGAGTGTTTTACAAAAAAAAAACATGAGTTTAGTCAAACATAAAAAAACTTATATATTTATCTAAAATATCAAATTATTAAGAAATTTTTATATTTGCAAGCAAAAAAACAAAATATTTAATTAGATAAGTCAATTCGAAGTTCTTTAATTTAGGTTACTTTGCTTAAAAATAAAGTATAAAGTATTTACTATAAACTTATAATGAATCATGCATTTTATTCCTTTGGAACATCAGATAATCCTAGGAGCCAGTTGTATTTCGTTTATAATACTTCATTTAATACCCAAAAATCCTAATTTTAAGTCTCAACAATGTCGTTGGAATTGGTGCCCCGCCCTGAACCGGAGAAAATCTACCTAATAACCTATGAGATGAATGTGCCTGAAGATTCCGGTGAGGGCCTCCACTCAATTGTGGCCCAGAAAGCCACCGAGTTGATGGTGTGTGGCTACATCGCGCATACGCACTGTGGCCGCAAGGTGGGCGGTGAACTGGAGGGCAGTGAGACTGGCCTACAACTGATGATCGAGTGGCTCCTGGCCAAGAGCCAAGAGAACGATCTGGGGGACGGGGAGAAGATCAAAAGCCAGATGACGGAGCCACGATTCTCAGAGTGGAAGCTGCAATCAGGGGCCAAATACGATGATTTTTTCTGCTGTTGAGTGCTGCCAAGAGGAGTTGATTAAAAATCGCAAATTGCATTGGCCCCAGAATATTGTTTCGAGTGCATTTTCATCTCATAAACCATAACAATCAGTGTCGGCTGCTGCTGCTGCTGCTGCAGTTCGTTGGGCCATTGAACAATAGCCCGGCTGACTCGAAGCTGACTTTTCAAAGTCAAAAACGCGATTGTATCATCAGTATTTTTCGGGGCGCGCTCTCTGCCTCTGATATTTATTTTTTTTTATTTTCATTTTCAGATTTTTTCCGCTCGGCAGTCGCAGATAAAGTTAAGGAGACCGAGTTGCGGCGAAAAACAATCGAATCAATTCATTTTTCTAGGGCGTACTGTGCCACTTGAACGTTGAACTGCAGACGCCCCAATGCTGACTACCGCTGAGGTTTCGCTTTTGGTTTTCCATCTCCTCCGGAGTTGGCCATTGTCTTCCAAGACGGCAGCCCGGTCTTGATCGTGCCCCGGCACTAGTCATTTTAATTTTTCAAGATTTTCCGAGCGCTGTGCTTCTGCGCATTTCGCAATCTGAACTCTATAAATCTCTCGTGCCGGTGTGTTAGATTTATGGGTTATGGGCCAAATGGGAGCGGGCCAAGCCAAATGTTCTACGGCCGCCCCAAAAATCCGCTATCCGCGATCCGGGCGATTCAATTAGATCTAAACGCTGTCAACATCCAGGCACTAATAACCCACAATTCGGGAGGGGGATGCAAAAAAAAAAAAAAAATAATAAAAAAATAGAAATAAAACCAAGAGTGTCGTCTGGCCTGTGTCTGTGGCATAATGTTGCATAATATTTTATGCATGCAGAGCTGGCAGATTGCAACATGTTGCCATGTTGCAGCCTCGGCTTCGACGCCGGCTCCGAATCGCTGATGATGATGATGCATAGCCCCAAGAATCGCTGAGACAGCCTTAGCCAAGCAATCGCTTTGGCGCCCCTCCCTGAAAATCTGGAAATCTGAAAATCCTGAAAACCTTTGCAGACATCCAGCTGTGTGTGCCCCGCGCTCAAAGTGTGTCGAATATTCAAGTGAAAATTTCGCCCCAGCCCCAAAGACCCGCTGCGATATATCGCAGAGTCCTCCAGAGTGCGGCGCTTCGATGACGTTGAGCTTGGATTTGAATTCGTACCCGGCCATGTGTTGGTGTCTCTCTGCCCATGCATGCATGCCATATGTGTCTGCACGGAGAAAAAATCAGAGCCTCTTTGTCATATATGTAGATAAGAATATCAGAGGTTGGCGTATTTTCTAGTTGGATAACCAAACTTTCACTGTATGATACATAAGAGTATTTAGAATATCGAAATTAGTATCAATTTTTAGCTTTTGTTTATTGTTTATTATTAATATTATTATCTTTAACCCTTGCAACAAAATATACGTTTTAATACTGACTTTAAATTACAATCCTTATTTAATAAATTTCACAAACTAGATATGATATTTAATTTTAAAAAATGTATTAATATGTGTCGTTTGTTATGTTCTCGAAATTGTAATGTCTAGTTTTTGCCTTAAAATATACAATTTAATACTTTATTTTAATTTAATGCGATGATATATAAGATAATAAATAAAAATGCAATAAATTGATGATCGATTTTATGTGTACTATTTTCTCTGCATTTATGCATCTCTCGGGAATGGAATATCGCCACGTATCCGAGGTTCCATAGGTGGGTAGCTCAGAGTCTCGGTCTTTGGCGTTTTTCGCTGGGTCTTGGTCTGGTATTTGATTAGACGGCGGCAAACTTGATCGCGTTGCTGCTGTTGTTGTTTCTTTTTTTTTTTTTTGCTTTTGTTTTTGTTTTTGCTTTTGGCCGATGTTGTTGCTCTGGCTCTTTAAGTCGAACAATTACATTTTAAGCGTAGCACAACCTTGGATACCGTTATATTTTTGCAGTTGGTTGGGCGTGTGTTTAGCGAATTACCCAACAAACATTCGCAGCTGAATTAATGGCTTAGGTGTTGTCTTGAAAATGGGGTTAGGATAGAATTTAAATAAACTTCTTTTAGAATATTGTTTAAAAATGCATATACAAATAATTACGAATAATTTCACAAACAGTATTTTTAATCTAAAAATAACGAAAGATAAAATAAGTATGTAGAAAATTAAATTTTTAATCTGTTTTGAATATAAAATATAAAAATAAAATGTACAATTTTGAAGATAACCGAAAACATTTTGTTTAGAAGGTACAAAAATTGTTCATCCTTGAAATATAAAAGGTTGTTCATTTGTAAATCATAATTAAAGTTTATCAGTAAAACAGATTTTAAATAAATTAGTTATTGATTTAATTTAATTTAAAAACGAATAATCGTTTGTACTTAATTTTAAATTACTCATCTTCAACCTCATTTTGGCCAAGACAGCCTGTAATATCCCCTTTAAAAAACTCCCAAAAAGGGAGCCCCGTAAAAAGACTTTGCTCCCGCAAAATGTTGATTTGGTTATGGGCCGCAGACACCGCACCGCTGGGCTAAACACGACTCGGCAATCTGCAAACGTCGCAGCGTTCGACAGTCGACAGTCGCCCCGATCGGCCAGTCAGTCTCCGAATCTTGGCTAAAATCCAGGCCCAGGTTCAGAGCAAAGAGCCAAGACCGAAGACCAAAGACCGAAGACTGGAGACTGAAGACTGAAGACCAGACCTGGCCAAAAGCGAGTCGACCACACCCGCACACTTCATTATTTTTATGTCGCCTGTGGTGGTACGATTTAAACGACAAACGCGGCAGCCGGCGAGCAGACGTTGGCGAATGGATCGCAAGAGTTTGGAGCCAGACTTTGGAGACCGTGGCACGACATCCACCGAGAACTCCCCCTGCTCGCTCACCCGGCCAAAAGACAGAAATAAACCGACAAAAAATAGGCACAAAAAGAGCCAAAAGCAAGCCAAGAAATTAGACGCATTCGACGTTTTGGAACGAGCGACAAGTCAAAGTAGCAAAAGACCAGGCACAAGCTAAGAGCTCCCTATCTCTCTTCCTCGCCCTCGCCCTCGCCCTCTCCCTCTTCCTTTTCGACCCGTCTCTTTCTATCTTAGCTATGACCATCTCTTTCTGCATCTCCAGGCACGTTGCTCCTTTTTGGAGCCAGGGCACATCTCATGTTGATGTTACAATTGCTGCTCCGTTCATTGGATTTTCGGTTTTTCTATTTTTTTTTTTGCGATCGTGCGCCAGTTCAAATGTGCCTAGTGGGTTTGGAAATTTGTAGCGCCCAAAAAAGCAACAGCAACAATAGTCAGTACAACGGCAACAACAATTACCCACAATTACAACAATAACGAAACAGCAACCACAACAACAACGCTGGCAAAAGGAAACTTCGTTAGTGGCCAGAAAGAGATTCAATGTGGTGCCTCAAAATTGCACTAAGAAAAAAAGGTATAAGATCGTACAAAAAATATAGTCTATAGTCAAATATAGATAGTCTATTGGAGATTATAATATGTAATTCGTGTAAATTTCCCCATATGTATATAAATATATAGATTTTAATCTATAGCCATAAATGTTTTGAAAAAGGCTATAACAATTTTATTTTAGTTATTTCTCAATCCAATTTTGTTTCAATATATAAAATACTTTCTCATATTAAAAAAAATATATATATAAAATAGCCTGGACATTTTTTGATGCTACTTTTATATGTTACTGACTTTTATATTCTTAATTTTTTGAAATTCAAAGGATCTTTGGAGTACTGCTTTTTATAATTCTGAAGTAAATTTCCCCAGTTCTTTTTCCCAGTGCACGATCTTCAGTTACAGCTTGAGCTTCAGCCAGAGTTCCTAAAGGTTCCAACTTGAGGGAGTTATTGCGGGGGGAGCCGGTGTAATTTATCTTGATGTTTAAATCAATAATAACGCCGTCAGTGTGCGTTTGCTTTTAGCGACTTTTGATCGCTTCACCAGCCAAAACTGCCAGCCAGCGAGCCAAAAAAAAAAATACCAAAGCCGGCAAAAGTCAGTCAGGGAGTCATAGAGTCAGTCAGTCAGTCACTCCATCGATATTTTAATAGATGTTGCTGCCGCGCGATTATTGTTATTATTACTGTGGGGAATTTCAATATGCGGCCGCCGTTTGCGCAGATTATTAAGGCACGAACAGGAAAATTACGTCGATGACGACGACGACGCGACTCGGAGTGTTTTCATAATTATTGCCATAGGCTTTTGATCTGGTTTCATTCTGGCCACAATCGAGTGTACGAGTGTGTGAGTGTTGGCATGCCGCCTCAGTAGGCCGCTTTTTGGAGACACGGTTCTGGTCTGGCGTCTACGCCTATTCGTCTGCTGATCTTTACAAGCTTTGCTTCAGATTTTCCTATTTTCCTTCTATTTTTTTTTTTTGTCCATTGTTCAGTCAGTTTGGCTGAAGAGCTGCGACTGCCTGAGGTTTCTGTATTTAGTTGTGGGCCGAATTGTTTCGTAATTGTAAAATATGTTGTTATGCTTTAACTTGTTGTTGCTGCCGCTGCGATGCGACAAATGTGTGTACAGTTAGCCGAGGGCTGTGTGGCATCTGCGGAAAATGCGGGGGCGGCGTAATGGAGGGGGCGTGGTACATGCACTGGGAATTTTCACTTCTTTTTGATCTGGGAAAGGCAATGTTCCGATTGCGCCGAGGAATTCAACGTCGTTTGGATGAGTAACGATTGGGGGAGATTCGTTGTAAGTCCCAAATTATTTCTAAACTGATTCGATTGGGTTGGTATGAGATCACTTGAGATTTGAAAGAGCTTGTTTACTGAGGGTAATTAATTACAAACAATTTGTTTTTCTTAAAACTAAGTTTATTATTTAGTTTTTTTTTTAAATTTTGTTTAGTGCGGTATTAAAAATAACTGGAAAGTTAATTAAATGCACTAAAAATAACTGCAAAGTTAATTAAAATGCACTTACCCATTTTTTTCAATTTTGGCTTTCGATTGAAATGAATACTTGAATACTTTATTAATCAAAAGTACACTTCTGATCTATAATTATATAATTTAATATTGTTACGTAAAT